ACACTTCATTCTGGGTTTTGAGCCATCATTTTGAACCACTGTAATGTCTGAGTGTCTTCTTTGTCTTCCTCTTCTCCTTTTTCTTCCCCCTCCTCTTCCTCATTTTCTTCTTCAGTTGGGTCTTGCCATGTGGTCTTTGCTGGCCAGTAATTTTCTGTGTAGACCAGCCAGCTCCAGCCATCCTACCCCTAATTCCCAAGCACTGGGGTTACAGACATGTACCAATGTTTGGATCTTGAGTTTGCCTTTCCATGCTTGCTCTTATTTTCACATCACTGTTATTTGCAGAATCAAGGTGCCTTGTATGTCACTGGACCACAGGAAAGCCTGAGGCAAGTCACCAGAGATCCACCAGCAGTCTTGAGATTCAGAGATCAAGTCACAAGTTCCTTTCATGATGCAACTAAATGTCCACAGCTGTCCTTTTGACTTAGAAGTTATTGTCACAGGTTTTATTTATGTATTTATTTAAGAAAAGATCTTGCTAGATATCAGTACCTTTAATCCCAGCAGAGGCAAACAGATTTCTGTGAGTTCCGAGGCTAGCTTGGTCTACATATCAAGTTCTAGTACAGCCAGAGCTACAGAAAGACCCTGTCTAAAATAAATAAAATAAATCATTTAAAAAGAAAGAAAGATGAAAGAAAACATATCTGTTGGGCGACCATGTTTATGGCAGTTAAAGCAGCAGGGGGTAAGTTTTCTGGTCAGAGACAATGCTGTAATGTGACAGAAAGAACAGGACTCCACAGATATAAGATCAGCTCTGCACTATGTCACTTTGGACAAGTCTTTTTGGCAGGGAGGAGAGGAGTGGGAGGCGATAGGGTCTAATATAGTCCAAGCTGGCGCTGAACTTGCTACCCTTGAACCTGTACCTCCCAAGTGCTAGGATCATACAAGTTACTATTTCGTTTGTAACTAACAGTCTAGAAATCAATCAAGGCTTTACTAGCAGGAGACATAAACTTTAGAAAAGGCCTCTTTAAAAGTTATACCCCAAAATGGGCAGTGGTGGCATATACCTTTAATCCCAGCACCCAGGAGGCAGAGGCAGGCTGATTTCTGAGTTTGTGGCCAACCTGGTCTATCTACAGAGTGAGTTCCAGAATAGCCAGGACTATTGAAACCCTGTCTTGAAAACACACACACACACACACACACACACACACACACACACACACACACACCTTGGCTCACTGACCCCTTTCCCTCAAAACCAGCAAGGGCTGAGTTCTTGTATCTCAGCTCTCTTACTTTCTTCTCCTATCTTGAGGTTTCCTGAAATTAAACTGAGATGACCAGGATAGAGCGTGTGATTGCCCGTGTAAGGGCCTTCACTGGAGCAGGGCCATATTGTGTCAGGTAAAGTCCCATATCTGTAGGCAGCTGGGATTAGCGTATGAACGTTTTTGGATGTCCTTACTCCTTCACCATCAGTTGGTTAGGGCTTGCCAGGGGCCAGTGCTTACAGTGATGATGAAGGTACAGCCTAGCTCAGTGTCTTCCTGAGGCTTGCTGTACTTGCATGACCAAAATGATACAGATGAACCTCTTTCCATGTAGAAAATTCACAGTTGTGCCCCCCTCCCATCAGCCTTGACAACTCGTTCTCTGTTGAAAGTAGGGGGAGAGTCCAGGCAAGGCAATGATTTGGCGTTTGTCCGCATGCTATCAGATCTTAGGTGACTGTGATCCTGAAATGCACAGCTCTGACCTCTCAGTTCCTAAAGCCCTCGTGTTCCTGACATCTGGACAGTGTGGGTAGAATTGGGGATCAGACCCCCTTTTGCATGTCCAGCTTTGAAAGGTAATGAAAATGCCAATACAAAGACCTTCATGTACAGCCAGGAAGGGCGAGAATTGCTCCCCTTACTCAGCTCCCATATGTCAATCAAGGCATATAGACAGGAGCCCTCACAGGCATCCTCAGCCCACAGGATCTGTCACATTCATTCCCTAGGAGTCTTCGACATGGACACTGCAAGCTGACAGACTGAAGGGAATCCATGAAGAGACAGTTCAACATCACCAAAAGGGCTAAAGAGGAGGGAAACCAGACCCGTGCTGAAGAAGTGTAAGGCCATTTGGGCGTGCTGGGGCACTCGCTGCCCAGCTCCATCTAGATGTGTTCTTAAGACTCTCACAGATGCTGTTCTCCGTATTAGAAGATGCACTTGGGCAGCTAACCTGACATTCAGGTCATAGCCACCTGTGTAATGGGTTCTCAGAACTGAGACATTGTCTCAAGTCCGAGGAATCCTGCCAGGTCCTTAGAGTCACTCACGCTCTGGCCGCCCCCACACGCTGTGGAGCACAGAGGCACCGCCCTGGCTGTCCCAGCCGTCCCCGACACCAGCTGCTCTGTGCCCTCCCACTCACTCTCACACTGCACACAGGCCCCCGGGGAGCCACCACCCCGCTGCCCAGTATCTGGGGGAGGCCCTGGCTGTTGGAAACTTTAATGAGCAGGGACCGTTAACAGCTGCCGAGAAGCCATAGGAAACGAACCTCAAGAAAGAATGTGTAAACCTGTTGTCTTGACCCATGATGGCTTCTCTGAAGATGGCAAAAGATGACAGCTCTCACCAGCAGCCTCAGCCCACATGGGTCCATTGAGTGTCATTCTCCAGGGGGACTTTGACGCAGACACTTACGTCCCACAGACACACCCCCCCCACAGGCCACAGAGTGCGCTCTCGAGTGTGTGTGTGTGCGCGCGCGCACACACACACACACACACCCCACGTACCCACCTGCCTCCCCTCAGACACCTTCCTCAGGAGATGGTGTGCTTGCTCCTCAGCCTCGGGGCCACTTTCTCTGGTGCAGGCAGGCTCTACTATGCCACTGTCAAAAAACTCTCCCGACATCAGCTGGCCCCGCCAAACACCATTAGTCACGTGAGCTGGCAGCATGTGGCCAGGAACTTTCCCTTTCTTTCTTCCTCCCCACAGCTGCAGGACAGCTGCTGGTGGTGGTGGGGACAGATGTGGCCCAAAGGGGGTGAGTTTCCTCACCTCCAAATCTCATCCGGTTTCAGCTCACTTCAACCTCCAAGCCATGAGGGCCTTTGGGACTCTCATAAGAAGCCACGTTGTAGTAAGAGCACCTCAGGAGCACCCTGGGTGCACACTGCCCTCTCTCACAGCCCTCTTTCCTGCCACTGTCTGCAAGTTCCTCTTCACCTCCTCACCTACAATAACTGAGTGGGCTTGGTAGTCTCCTCTAAAAGCCTCTTCTTGTCGCTCCCTCTCTGTGTCTCTCTCTGAGACAGGGTCTCAGTATATAACCCTGGCCAGCCTAGAACTCATGGCGTAGACCAGGCTAGCCTCTGACTCACAGGGATTCCCTGCACCTGCCTCATCCTCCTGATTGCTGAGATGAAAGCGTGGTGATGAGCATGGTGGAACAATGGGTTTTGTGTGTGTCTATGTGAGAACTGTGTCCAGACTGTCACATTTCCACTGTTCCACTGAGCCCACTGCGCCTCTAGCCCCCAGGCCCTTATAGGGAAGAACTTAACTAGAACAAGGGGAAATCTCTTTGCCTTACTTCTACTTAGGAAGCCACAGCTGTTGCCCCCTTCCTCCTCCTCGTTCCTCCTCCTCTTCTTCCTTTTTCTCCTCTTCCTCCTCTTTCATCTTCTTTGTTTTTTATTTGTTTGTTTGTTTTTGTTTTTTTTGAGACAGGGTTTCTCTGTGTATTCCTGGCTGTCCTGGAGCACACTCTGTAGGCTGGCTTCAAACTCACCAGATCCGCCAGCCTCTGCCTCCCAGGCTCTGGGATCACAGCCCAGCCCCTTCTTCTTTTTTTAAGTTTTGTTTTATCTTATGTGTATGAGTGTTTTACTTGTATGTATGCTATACAGCACGAGCATGCATGGTGCCCAGGGTGGTGAGAAGAGGGTATCAGATCCCCTGGAACTGGAGCTACAGATGGTTGCGAATGGCCATGTGGGTGGTGGGAATTGAAACAGTACTTCTAAACATTGAGCTAGCTCTCTAGCCCACCATATCCCTTTTGAATCCTACACTCATAGTTTCCTCTCCCCCTCCCTAGAGGGGTGTGTGAAATCTACCTGTGCTCCAGGCTAGTCCTTCAGCCCAGTCCAGAGCTGCTCCTGAGCAGCTGCCGGGTAGACACTGATTCCTGAGAGGGTTCGATGTGGGAACACAGAGGAGCCCACAGGATGTCAAGGGAAGGGTGGGTGGGGAAGGAGACACCTGTGCACAGGTGTGGTCAGGTACACATCGGTGTGGTGAGACTATGAAGGGGGGAGGCTGGGGTGTTCACAGGGGAAAAACAACTTGCTCCTGCCTCCCTATCACCCTCCAAAAGGCTGTCACATTCCCAGGAATGGCTTCTGAGTGACAGGTCAGCAAGCAGGAGAGGAATCAGGCTCACCTCGTGAGCACTCCATGCTAAACGGGGAACATGAGCCTTATCTGAGCTACCAAATGAAAGACCTCCTCCTGGTAGCCCATGGGCCTACTGGAAACCCCAGAACAAGGAGGAGTAAGGTTCCATGGTAGGAACCCCAGATCTGATGGTTGAGGATGAAGCTGCAGCCTGGAGCAGTGATTGGGGTAATGTCCTGGGTCGGTTAAGAACAAAACAACTCTGCATTGACAGATCTCAGGGACTGGCAGTCAGGAGGGAGTGGCCAGCCAGTGAACACACAGGGACCCGTGCAAGGATCTTTAAGCACAGTGGAGGCCAAATCGAGCCTAGGATACACAAGGAGGGGCCTCTGGCTGGACACAGGTCCAGGCTAGCTTCGGCACCTGTAATTTGAACTCCAGTCTCCCTCTATGGCCCCCTGGCTCCAACCCAAAGACCTCTTCTGCTTCACTGAGTCCATCTGCCAGAGCCTTCCTCTTTCGTGACTTGTCGTCACAGTGCAAAGCACTGAGGCTTCCACTCACAGAGAACTCAATGCTGAAGAGAGGGGAGCGGTGGGGAGGTGTGGGCCAGTCGATCAGCCGAGTGACCAGGAGGAGGTAGAGGTGCCCTGCGCCATGGCTGATGCCATCACCTACGCAGACCTGCGCTTTGTGAAGGGGCCTTTGAAGAGCAGCTTGTCTAACCACATGGGACAGGGTAAGGCCTGCCTCCTTCAATCCCATCCCATCCCACAGAGCTTGTTCTGGACACCTACTTTGGACCTTTACCTTTACAGATGGTGAGGCCTATGAGGATGGGGAACTCACCTATGAAAATGTGCAAGTGTCCTCAATCCCAGGGGTGCCATCAGGCTTGGCTTTCCCTGCATTAGTGGACAAAGCAGGTATGAAGGCCCAGGGGTGTCTGAGGAGGGTGTCTTCATCTGGGGAGTGCAGAGCAGTCTTGGAGAAAGAAGCAGGGCCCTCTGTGAGAGCCAGGGGAAGACAAAAGGGTTCTCACCCTAAGCTGGTGTCAGGACCAGGGCAGCCCGGTGGGTTTCGGTGGGAAACGGCAGTGGGAAGGATGTGGAAAAGGATGAAGGGTCACAGACAGAGCCCCTAAGGAGACAGTAAGGAGGAGATAAAGGAGAGGAATACGACAGGGGTGTGCTAAGGCGACACAAAAGGGCTTTTGGGTGAGGACCTCCCTGTGTGGAACTTCCGGGGTTAAGCAGGAGTGAACTGGGTCCATCTCAAAGCCCACAGGGGCCCCCAGGGGCAGGAGATGAGGTCCCCAGAGTGACAGGCTGTCCCACTCAGCCCAGGACAATGTCTCGGCATGGTGTGGGGGTGGGGAGAAGGGAGGTTACTGGGACTTTCCACCCTCTCTTTGGGCGCTCCCTTTGGCAGGGGTCAAGTCAGAGCAGCCAAACACTGCGTCCTGGAGCTCTTCGAAGCCGTCTGCCGTGGGGTGGATTCCCCCGTGTATGTATTCTCAGTACCCCCTCACTCGCCGCCTGGCCTGGCCTGCAGCCCAGCGCACCATTCACTAGTTGCCTGGCCTGTGGGCACAGGGCAGGAATGCCCCACTCCTTGTGCCCGTGTGTGCATCCCGGAGGGGTGGAGCTGGGTTGTGCCCCAGTTGAGCCTATGGGACTTCAACCACAGCCCAGCCACTCCATTACCTATCAATCCAGATAATCATTTCCCTGTTGGGATTGTCCCTTTCCCTGTATGGAATTTCGTTTCTTCCGCCAGGTAATGTCCCTCTCAATTCTTCTCACCAGCTGCAGTCCCTAGCTCCCAGCCACACAAAGCCCGTGTAGGCATGTTTTTGTTCTCTCTGTCTCACTGTATACATTCTTCCCTGGGGCTAACTGCCCATCATCCGTGTCCCCTCAGGTCCCACAGTCTGCTTGCAATACTTCTTGCTTGGCCTTCTCCTGGCCTGCCTGATGTTAGGGATGGCTGTCATCTGCCTGGGAGTTCGCTGTGAGTATGGGTGTCCCCATTTCCCACTCTTCATTCTAAACATCTTCCCTTCTCTCCCCCAAGTGGCCTTTCTTCAGGAAGGCTCAAAAAGATACTGTGCCAACATCCTTGGCTTTAGGGTCTGGTTTCCAGCCAGGTCTGTCCTGGAGTGTCCTGCCTTCCTCCCAGCTCAGGATTTCCTTAAACTCGGATCCTAAATTCAGAATACTGAAGTTTTAGGGTACCAGGTTGTAGCTGGAGGAAGTGATCTCAAGTTTCTCTTTACCCCCTCCTCCCCTTACACACACGAGTCTCCATATGTAGCCCAGGTTGACCTCGAATTTGCTATCTTCCTAACTCAGCCTTCCCTGGATTGAGATACAGGTGTGTGTTGCTAACCCAACCAGTCTCTCCTATGGCCAAACAGATCTGCAGGTGTCTCAGCAATTCCGGCAGGTGACCAGGATTTTGGAAGCCACCAACAGCAGCTTGCAGCAGCAGCTCAGGGAGAAGACGGTACAGCTAGGACAGAAGGAGGTGGATCTTCAGGAGTCTCAGAGAGAGCTGACCTTGAGTCAGGACACGTTACAGGAGAAGCAGAAGATTCATGAGAACACTGAGCAGCAGCTACAGGCCTGCCAGTCGGAGGGAAAGAGTACCAGGGAGAACTTGGAGAGAGAGGAGCGGAAGAGGCAGGAACAGAGCCAGAGGTGGAGAAACATGCAGGACAAGCTGAGGTCCTTCCTCTCCTGTCCAGGTATCTGACCCCCTGGGATCAGGGAGATAGGGGGAGTAGCCTGTGAGAAACAGACTGAATCCAGGAGTCGCTTGTGCTGGGTCTGTCTAGCTCTCAGGGGCCAGTGAGTTGTTCAGGAAAGGGGCAGTGAACCAGAGCAGTGGCTGAGCTGGGCTGTGTGACTTGGCTACTGAGGAGGACTGAGCTGCACACTGGATTTAGGGGATGCGCCAGCACTGTGGCAGATCATGAGAGGGAAGAGAAGAGGAAGCTGTCTCCAGTGACTCACACACATTGTCCAAATCTCTTTATGACTCAGGGGACATCTAGATGCTTCCACCAAGCTTAAGATAGCAAGATCACAGGCACATGCTCTTAGCTCTCATTTCCTTATGCTTCTGTTCCGTGTGTGTGAATGTGAGTGTGTGCCTCTCTCTCCTCTCCCATCTCCCTCTCTTTCTCCCCTCCTCCGTTTGTGTGTGTGTGTGTGTGTGTGTGTGTGTGTGTGTGTGTGTGTGTGTGCCGCCATTGGGGAATACTTTTGTGGCAAACACATTAATTACTAAGACATCTCCCAGCCCCTCTTCTTAACCTTACTTTCCATGACTCTCAGTCCCACGCCAGTGATGCCAGCATTCCCATAGCTATACTTGAGACCTTGCCATCCCAGCTGCTCATGTGTTCAAGGTTTGCTTGCAGACACCTGCTCTGATTGCGGCCACCCAGCCCAACAGGTTTCTCTACTCTTCCACCTTCCGAAGGCATCTAGCCAGTGGAGTCCCAGTTTTCTTTTTTTCCAACAGCCAACTCTTCTCCTCACCCCTCTCCCTATCCATCTTGGGTTTCAGGGTCCCTTTTCCAAACACCCCCTCTTGTTCTCCCGGTCCTGTTGCACTAGTCTGAATAAACACTCAACTGACAGCTAGTCTGGGCCTGCATCAGGTATGACAAACTGCACAATTAATCATCTTGATCCGCTGAGACTCTGGTCTGAAGTAGGCAGCTCCCCTCCTCCCCACTGCCGTTTCCATCCTCTTCAGTCGGGGGCACAATTATCGTCTCGGGCAACTCCACCAAGGCTGTATGGTGTTTGCATTTTGCAGATCCCAGTCTTTTTAGGACAACTGCCACAGCTGAATTTTTATCTCAACTACCCTCACCCCACACAAATGGAGTTCATTATTCACAATGGCACCAGAAGAATTTTTCCTTTTATAATTTTTTTTCTTTTGTCCATTTGTGTGTGTGTTTCATACATGTTGCATGTGTGTATGCACTCATGTGTTTGTGCATGCACGGGTCATGCAGAGACTCATGCTTGATTGTTTTTCTACTTTAGTCATTGTAGCAGGGTATCTCAATCAAACCCAGATCTCATCAATATGACTCCAGTCAGCTTTCTGTGAGGATTCCCTGACACTGCCTTCCAAGGCAGTTATGACAGGAGGGCTGCCACTCACCTGACTGTCCCATCCAGCGGGAGTTCAATGAGTTCCTAAGGAGGGGCGAAAAGAATGAAATAGAGACAAGGAGACACAAAGAATGAGAGCAAACCTATAATCTGATCTCGCTCTCGTTTATTTGAAAAATTTCACACAACTTTATAGGGAGAAGGCAGGAAGGGAAAATGTGTCAGCAATATAGTTTACAAAACACAACAGGGTGATTAATGATGATGCAGAACACCGCAAGAATGTTTACTAAAAGAGCTACTACAAGAATGTCAGCTAAGATATCTCAAAATGTCTAGCCTGACGCACAGACGTCTCATAGGTTCCAGAAACGTAAATCTCTCACCTACGACCTTGTTGCAGCTGTCTGTGACTTTCCACTAGCTGGCCTGGGCTCCCGGCACCTGACAGTCACTGTGTGTCTCAGTTACTCTTCCATTGCTGTGACAAAACCCCAAGACCAAGGCAACTTCCAAAAGAAAGTGCTGAATTGGGTGGTTTGTGGTTTCAGAGGGTTGGAGCCCATGATGGCAGAGCAAAGGTGGGGTGGCAGAGACAGCTGAGAGCTCACATCTTGATCCACAGATCCACAGGAGACAGAGAGAACACTGGGAGTAGCAGGAGTCTTCTGAGACCTCAAAGCCTGACCCAGTGACACGCCTCCTTCCACAAGGCCACACTTTCTAGTCCTTCCCAAACAGTTGCACCAGCTGGGACTGAGCATGCAAATGGCTGAGCCTATGAGGGCCACTCTCATTCCAGCCACCTCACTCAGCTTCTGGGGATCTAAAGTTTGGTTCTCATGCTTGTGTGGCAAATGCTCTAACCACTGACTCAGCCCTAGTTATGGGGAAATCCTTAAAAAAACAAATCTGATTATGCTGTCCTAGACTAGCCATTCTAACCATTCTAATTAGTTATCTAATCGGTGATGGGGTCTGATACATTTCAATGTGTGCCCAAACACAGAACGTGGATGGAAAGCAAAACTTCTCTATGCAAAATTTAACATTATTTTCTATTCCTTTTAATAAAACAATAAAAAATATTGAGCCAGACATGGTGGCATGTACATTAGCATTTAGGGAGCTGTGGCAGGAAGTTGAGGAATTTGAGCCTAGCCTAGGCTACATGTCTCTGCTCTCTCTAATGTAGTTTTCAAGGCCTTGCCTACCTTTCTGCATGTTTCTTATTCTCTCCCTCTCTTCAAATCAGTCATGCCAAATTTTAAAAATTGCCACAGTACAGAACAGCCAGTAAAGGAAGCTGGATGGAGACATAAGAAAATGTAGATAAGAGAGAGAGAGGGGAGAGAGAGAGTCAGCGGACAGGGCATGATTTCTGGGTGATGGGCTAAGACTGATAAGAGGTGATTGGGATCAAGAGCAGAGTGGGGTGTGGGATGTTAAAGAAAGACTTCATTTCTTAAAGGTAACCCAGAAAATAAGAGATAGGCATTTAAAGTGGAGATGTGGAAATGGAGAGTATTCATAATCTTAGAAAAACAGGAATCAAGTCTGTCTGTTTACGGCATTGTGGAGAGAGATGTGGCCCCGGGCTGGAGGAGTGTGGCAAAGCTCTGCATGTGCGGTGGAGATGTTAGGGAGTAAATGGAGTGAATGAATGAATGAGTAAATGAATGAATGAGGAGCCCATTGATCAATGTGGGAGCTAGACAAGGTTGGCCAGTGTCAGGGCAGATTTTATTCTTTCAGAAATCAGGGACAGTAGCACCAACTCTGCTAGAATAATCTCCCTATACTGTTAAGAAGCAAAATGTTTCTAGAAGAGGCAAAAAGATTGCAAAGATCAAGGACTAAAGTTGATGAAGACATCCTCTAGCGTAGCCCTTGGGCTGATTGTTAGCAACCAGCTGGCCAATTGTTCACTTTATCCCAAGTGTTGTGGCTGTCGTCTTTTTTTCTGCTTTGCAGACTCCTGCTGTCCACTGGGGTGGATACAACAGGAGAGAAGATGCTTTTACATCTCACATACTCCCAGAAGTTGGGAGGAGAGCCAAAAACACTGCACATCTCTGTCCTCCACACTGGCTGTATTCACACTAACTTCTGAATATTATTATCAGGTGAGCATGCCTCTCTCCATGAGGTGGTGTGTGAAGGGGTGTGTCACTGAGTCAGGAATGGCAGTGCACACCTGCGCACGGCATGGTTTGCATTGCTTCCCTGTGACAGACACGGACAGTCACACTATTTGGCAGTAAGTATAGCGACAGCTTTGGCATCTTAGTTTCGTGTTGTCCCACGGCTCCGATTGCTTAGCATTGGTGAGAACTGAAGCGTCTAAGCCATCTCCACTTTAGTGGTGTCTTGGCTTGCTAGCCTACCCCTTGACGGCTTAATTCTTCATTGAGTCTTGTGCCTCTCAGGCAGAGTGGCGCCAGACCCCTGACACTCGATTATCTGGGACCAGAAGTTCAGACTGACTCCACTTCAAATTCTTACTCTGCTTGGAGGTGAAATGGAGAGTGAGCCTGTATCTGGCGGCACTGGAAAGATGCAGGCGCAATTAACTCATGTACTAAAGGGGCATGAGTTTACTTACTCCTGCTAAGTAAAACTCATAGGCCCCCTAGGGTGTCTCCACTTCATCCCATATTCTCATTGTTCTTCACATGCCTCTCTGAACCCCCTCAGGTTCTTCTGCCCGATGGCTTAGAGGATTTGCTAAATGTTTCAATGTCATATTGGGTCCAGCTGACAAACAAGCATGAAGGTGTACAAAGTATGAAGACATGGAGGTAGTCAACTCAGTCTCTCAGAGAAAGCCTTAACAGTGTTTCTTCCTTAAGTCCTGCTCCCCAAATGCTTCCACAAATCAGTACTGTGATTCTCACTCCTTCTGATTAACAACTGTTTAAGATGTTAAAGAGAATGTGTGGGAGAGGGGTGCCACATGGGCCCCAGGGATGGCCCTCAGGTCAGGCTTCACCTGCACCTGCTGAGCCATCTCACTGGCCTGCATTCTTACTCCATCTTACATCCACAGTACTGGGAGTCTCCAGCACTTACGATTACAGTGCATATTCCTGCAATCCTAGCACTCAGGAGGCGGAGGCAGGATTCTGAGTTAAGGCCACCCTGGACTACATAGCAAGAGCCCCTCTTCCTCATCTCAAAAAACAAATTATTAGGTTGAGGTCTGTGTCATCTATCGGAGGAGCTAAGGATTTAGCAAGGCTTCACAGCCAGAGCAGCGCTGGCATTGAACCGGCTCAGCCTTGACAGGCTGCCCAGACTCAGGCTGCACTTCTTAGTCCAGGCCAACTGGAGCACTAGAACTGCCCCAGGAGAGAGCGGGAGCAGAGTAGCTCGTTTCCTCCAGGAATCTTCAAGTAGGGCGGCCACTTCCTGGAGTTGGGGGCCTGTCTCACGGGGCGCTCCGATTACAGGCAGGCACCATCGCGCCAGATCCTTACATGGTTTTTCTCTGTGCTCTTAAGGCCTTAAGTTAGAAACCTGTTCCTGAACCATGAGGCCCTAGCAGGACATAGGACTTGGACTAGATTTTGCAAAGAGCAAGGGGGAGGGAGGGCCTTGCATGGGTCAAGAGTGTATCTCAGTTCTGCTCACCAGGTCTGGACCCAATTCTCCAAGCAAAAATTGTAACAGGATAGCATACCCTACATGGATTAGGGCATGGAGAAGACAACCAAAAACGTGTACTGAGCTTTATCCCTGCATTTGTGAGCTGGAGGCTTTCAGGTTTCCTGACATCTCCACTGAAATGGGTAAGCATGAGCGAGCTTGGGCATGTGCTTACGACAGAGCCCCAGAGGACAGAAGGAAACCTGTTCCCTCATGCGTCACAGCCACCACCTTCAGGGCTCACTGTACACGGGGCAGAGAATGGGCACAGGCCTGGCCTGGGACAGAATGGGAGCCGGGAGAACACAGAGGAACTGGATGAGGGTTAATGAAAGCCAACTGGAACTCGCTGATGCTTTATTTTTCCAGACACGTGAACAAGGGATTGTGACCTACATCCTTAACCTACCGCCTGCCAATTCTTCACACTGCTATTGCTCCAGCTACCCTCACTCTTGGGCATGCCCGGCTAAGGGCTGATCCTGGTCTGGCAACCTGCTGCCTGCTTGAAAGCTGCTCCAGAAACTGGATCATTCCTGGGAAGAGTAAAGAGGCCTCCAGAAAAGACTCTGATCTTCCTTAAGAACTTCCCAAACTAGAGATGGGTCAGGGCAGGGCGCAGCGCTGAGTAGATGGATGGCCCGGAGCCAGCCAGGCAGTTTTATTGAAATATTTTTAAATAATTTGCATGTGTTAGTCTCGTGTATCAGCAATGCTGTGTCTAGATTGGTGATCCCGACGGGATAGCAAACCCAGAAGTCAGACAGAAGTGCTCTGCCCATTGAGACCATGCTGAGGCTCCCCTAGACGGGGAGAAGAGCCAGTCAACCCATCTGGGGCTGACATTGTCCAGCAAGTGCGCTCTGTCCTTACAGGGTACCCTGAAGGCCAAGGTTGGGAGCCTGAGATCACTGGCCTCAGTGCTAAGAGCGTGCCCCAGGCAGCTGCAGGCTGGGTGTGGGTGGCTTGGCATGATGCCCTCGGTGGCAGAGGAGACTGCCCGCCTCACAGTTCAAGTTGCGGTAGCGGGCAACAGCTGGGGTAGGGCGGGGGCACATGGATAGGAAGCCAAAGCTGAAGGGGCCAAGGCAGCAGCCAGGGCAGGGCAGCGCCTCCTCTGGCTCCCGGGGAGCTGATGGGGGCGGCGAGGGTTCTGTCCGCTCCAGGGCCGCTGCCCGGGGAAGGCTATGCTGTGCCCGGCTCCAGGGCTCCCCAGCCCAGCCCTGTGGGGAGTGCACCACCACAGCAGGGGGGTTATTATTGAGGGGAGGTCCTGATCGAGACCAGGGTTGAGAGGCTGAGGAACACGTGCTGATGAAGTTGTCAGTGGCCACAGCCAGAGGCAGCTGGGGGGCTGGCCCTGGGAGTTCTGGCTCAGGGCTGCTGCCCTCACACTCCATCTTTTCTTCAGCCGAGGGGCCCATGGGGGGCGGGCCAGGACCTGGCAGTACAGTCTCCATCCGCCGGGGGAGCTCAGGGGATGAGGGTAGTGAGCGACAGCGGCGAACAGGTGTCTCAGGCTGGAGCAGGGTCTCTGGAGTGGTCACCAAGGGCAGCTGGGTAGAGGTCAGCGGCGACGGTGGTACCAGGGGCAGCAGGCTGGCCGGCTTGCAGGGGGTGTCCAGGAGTTTGATCTTCCCACCCCTGAGGTCTTCCCGTAGGGAGAAGGGATTGACTCGTGTTAGATTGTCCCCCCAACTGGGGGGTGATTCTGGTGAAGGTGGCAGGAAGAGGTCTGACCGGCTTCGGGAGAGCCGGGGGTCCGGCCTGGGAAGTGTGGCAGAGGGACCTCCTCTTGGGACAGACCCTGGAGAAAGAGAGGTGTGTGATCACTGTTCTCAGCATCTGCTCAGAGCTGAGGCCATTATTCTCCAGGAAAGTGGTGGAGTCCTACAGGGGCTCTGGAAAGGAGGGCTGCTATTTCCAGCTACTTTTCTTAATAAGTAAACAAATAAATAAAGAAATAATCCATGTGTCTGTGTGCTCGCCTGTGTGAACCACAGAACATTGAAGTTGTCAGTGGAGGTCAGAGGTCAGAGGACAACTTTCAGGAGTCAGTTCTCTGCTTCCATGATGTAGATCCTGAGGTCCTTATACAAATGCCTTTACCTGATGAGCCAAATCTCACCAGCCCTTCCTTCCAGCTTCCTCTCGACCTTGTTTCCTACCTCTGCTTCCGTGGGCTCTAGCCATAGAAAAACATCTTCCAGGAGACGCTCTCCATCCCGCCTGAGCCCACCTGACTCCCACCCAGCCTTCTCAGCTAACAGATCCACTGAGCGGCTTCCTCCAGAGAGCTGACTCTCAGGAGAGGCGGACTTCTGCTGGCCAAGGTCATGCTCACTTACCCTGACTGTATGGCAAGGGAGCCTTGGCGAGGGGCATCTTGGAGGGGGGTGTGGGCTCAGGCAGCTGCTCCAGGATCTGTTCCAGGTGCTGGGTAATTTCAGTAAAAGGGGCTCGGGTGCTGGGTTCCATCTGATAGATGAAAACGGGGTTGAGGATGGTCAGTTTCCCTCTCACCAACACCTGGGACTCAAAAGACAGCTCATGGGCAGGGGTCAGGGAGGGGCAAGAGGCTTACGCTGCAGCAGTGGATGGCCAGAAGCAGGAAAGGCAGTGGGCAGTCATTTCCCACCAGTGTTCTAAACGCAGGCACGTCCAGGCCAAAGTCCTATGAAGACAGAGGAGGGGCTAACAGCTGGCCTTCCCTGGGCTCTCCTTGAGTCCCTGTGAGGGTCAAGCTCCAGGGAGCCCTCCTTGGATTGAGGCTCCCAGAGTGGAGGTTACCTCACCTCAGTTCGGGGTAAGTAGTCAGGGTCGGCAGGTACTCGGGCGATGAGCTCACAGACGACAATCCCAAAGGCGAAGACGTCGGCCTGGGGGTAGGAGACGGGCCATGCCAAGGGGAGCAGTTGGCACTTATCTTGTTGGGAAGGGCGACAGCGAGGTAAGGGTGAAGGCTGGGGCTTCCTGAATGTTCAGCAGGGCTGTTGGATGGGCTCTACTTAAGGTCTCTGGGGGACTTGAGGCTCTTACCTTCTCATCATACAGCTCTCCCCGCAATACCTCTGGAGCCATCCAGTATGGGGAGCCCACCACAGCCAATGGCTCCTTCCTTGCCCCTTCCCTGCAGGGGCAGGGTGGTCAGAAACTCCTATTCAGACATCTCCCCCAAGCAAAAGGGGATGGGGCAAGCCCCTCTCCACCCACATGAAGTACCATTGGGGTTTTACTCAGTATAGGGGACCCTGGGAGGCTTGGGTATGAAGGGCATTCACCTCACCTATATACAGGAATCTTTTCAGCCAGGCCAAAGTCACCCACAACAGCTGTGAAGCCTCGGTCTTCCCTTCGGACCAGACAGTTCTGACACACACATAAGCACCCTCACACACCCATCACCTGCTCTCTCCTCTTCCAGTATACCCCAAGTCCCGTGTCACTACACATTACCCCAACCTCCCCTCCCACTTCTCCAATGCCCCCACCGCTGTAACACCATTCAGTACTCAGTGTGACCCTTAGTCCCAGGAGCCTCACGCCATCCCTGTCCATCATTAAAGAATGATGTCCAACGCCTGCCACCCCAACTTCCTAACAGATCTACCAGCCAACACCCACAGGCCAGTTGTAGCAGCTAGCAATCTTTCAAACCCTCCTTCGTCTCCCCCCCACCTTGGCCAGCCTACCTTGGACGTGAGGTCTCGGTGAAACACACCTTTGGAGTGGAGGTACCGTAGGCCTTGTGCAATGTCCAGTGCTAGGTGGAGCCTGACTGGCCAGGACAGGGGTTCTGGCGAGCTGAGCAGCTGCTCCAGGGTGCCCCCATTCATATACTGGGGCACAGGGGAAAGAAAGGGGGACCCAATGCCAGGGCTTCAGTCTCTATTCTGTGGCTGCCACTCATAAGGCAGGGGACACTCAGGGGGCTCATAAAGCTCAGAGGCTGAGTCTGCGCTCCACAGTTCCCGTTTGTATACTAGGCTGCCCTGTCCCTCAAGGTAGCCATGTGCAGCTACGTCAGCAAACCATTTCATAATCAGACATGCAATTCTTTTGTCACACAGCTCTTGCTTTAGTCTGGTCCACACGGGGCTAGAGGCTCCTGTGTTGGGCACAGATACAAAATACGTCCATCATGGCACAAAGTCCTATGGGTCAGCATTGTTCCCCGGGATACACAGAATGGCTCCCGCTGAGGGTTCTAGCAGGCGCTTTGCCCAAAGCGAAGTTGAGGAAGTTTCCAGTTGGAGGTCCTGAGGTTCCCCCCAGGCAGCTCCACCAAGCCCACTGGCCCTTTCCCTGGGAGGTGTGGTGCCTCCTCTCCTTCCTGGCCTGTGGATATCGCTTACCTCTGTAAGAGCGTGCAGCTGCCCCTGGTGCACACAGACCCCCATGAACCTGAAGGAAGACGGGGAGGAGACAAGGACAGGCTGTGAGAGCCGGGCTCCACCGCATCTCCCTCTTGCAAGAGGCTAGGCCGTTCACCTGAGGATGTTGGGGTGCCGTAGCCGGTTCATCAGCTGCACCTCCCTTAGCGTGTTGCTCCGGTTACTGGGGAGCTTGTTCATCTTCAGCACCATGACTTGCCCCGACTGTCGGTGCCGAACCTGGGGCGGCAAGGGTCGGTGTGTGCCCCTAGCTCAAGCATGGGATCTCTATCCCAGGCTGTGGGCCCCTAAGCTCTAGCCTCCCGTCCAAGGCTCGGTCCCGCCCCTCTGCCCGCTCCGCGGGTCCTACCTTGTAGACTTCAGAGAAGAAACCCGCCCCGATCTTCTCTGCGCAGTCGAAATCGTCCACACGCGCCAGGCTGGACACGGCGCTGCGGAGGGCCCGATAGGAGGAGGGCCGGCCCCGGCCCGGGCCTCCGCCTGCGCCCCCCGGCCCCTCCCCCGGGGCCTCTCCGGGCCCAGGGCCCCGCAGTGGGGGCCGTTCCCCGGCCATGGCCGGGCCCCCAGCCCGGGCCTGCTTCACATGGCCGGGTCCCCGGGACCCGGGCAGGCCGCGCTCGCCATGGGCGCCGGCCCAACCCGATCCCGGGCGCCGGGACTCCCGCCCGGAGGACTCCTGGGAGACCTGCCGAAGGCCCTGGGCCCGCCCCCG